AATACTACTTTTTATTCTTGCTTTTGAATGTTGTCTTTTATTACAACTGAGAAAGAAACAAAGTACGTACTGTACTTAGATCAGATGTCACAATAGACCATGGGCAGATTTTTATAAAAAAATCTGCATGAAGAAACGTGTATTATGCTTATATTAATTGTGATAAGACCAAGTTACAACGTTACTGCCAGTCAGTAACTGTAATAATGCACTAGATTAAAAATTGTATGAGGCAGGTCACACATAGTGCCTCCATGTACATGGAGCTTTACAAATCAATATAACTAGAGATATCAAAGCCCAGGTGTTGCTTAACAACACTTGATATTTTTGAAATTACTTTGGATGCTCATGATTCTAGGCTGTGTGAACAGATTGTAAAGATCCTCTTCATACTGTTGCTTTATTCTGCCCCACTGACACAGATACTTCTTTTAAATACTGTACACATTTTTCTTTAATACATTTCTTAGCTGCCTTTCAGGTAAGACTCTCTCTCTCTCTCTCTCTCTCTCTCTCTCTCTCTCTCTCTCTCTCTCTCTCTCTCTCTCTCTCTCTCTCTCTCTCTCTCTCTCTCTGTGTGTGTGTGTGTGTGTCTGTGTGTGTGCGTGTGTGTTCAGTGCTATCAAGTTGGAACAGACTTGCACTTTCAAGGTGTGAGATGTTTAAGAAGTGGTTTACCAGTTCCACTCCCACAGAAAGTTTCAAGACCAAGTGGGGATTCAAACCCTGTTCTCCAGAGTCCTAGTCCATCACTCAATCCAAGACTTCCTGAGGCAATTCAAATTATGAAACAGAAAACAGAAAAATCCTCTACCAGCAAATTATAAATGTACCTAAAACTGAATCAATGTTATCAACAAGTAACAAGAAGCAGCTCATAAACAATTTGATAACATAGGACCAATGTCCAGAGCATACAGAGTGGGACTTTTAACTGAAATGTGAGTCAAACTCCTTTCATTTACGAAGTCCTCTTGCTTTTTTGTCAGAGAAGAAAATGGAAAACCCCTCTGCTATAGCAGTTAGGTGCCATGACCCCTGTGGTTTTAGTCATGCACAAACGAAAGCAGAAGATGACTCAGAAAGTCAAAACAGTAGGAAAATTTACTTGTTATCTGAAAAGAGGAATACTTAGAATCATTTCTTAGCAAAGTATTTACCATGATAAGATTCTCTGTTTTTTTTTTTAATCCATCAGGAATATTAAAATTATCAAACTCACTACTGGCTGCTTGAAAAATTACTGGGATCACTCACAGGCTAAGACTTCCAACAGCCCCCCTGCCAAAAGCTTCCTGCTGATTTCTTTTAATGCCATTTTGCACATGTTAATTAGCCTAATGGTGTTAAAATCTTCCTCCTTTTTGTTGTTGCCTTAAATACAGGAAGTAAGAATGCTGAAAACAATATAGTTAAACTTACTCTATTCCACTAGACATTAAAATGCTGGTTTTTAATGTACAGATTTTTAAGTGTTTTAAAGTTATCTTGGTTTTCAATCTTAATATAGGTTTTAACTGTCTTTTAATATGATATTTATATAGTATTTTAAGATTGTGTGTGTTTTTTATAGTTTTATCTGTTGTGAGCCGCTTGATTCCCCTATGGGGAGAAAGGTGGCATATAAGCAATAAAAATAAAACAAAACAAATAAATAGGCAGACCACATTCTACACTGAGAATTCAGTTTCATAAGGAGTAAGGATCTGATTCTTTATAAGCAATGATTTTTTGGGGGGGAAGAATGAAGTCCTTATATAACAGAAATCCTTAATAATGGACGGTACAGGTTTTTGAAGAAGGTAGAATATTGATCCAATATCATAAAATATATCGTCTCCTTCTTCTCTGTAAGTTGTTTAAGAGAAGATACTTACTAAAGCTTCTCAAGAAGTATGGCAAACATTGTTCCTCAAGTAATGTTAGCAGTTTAGTTGTAATGATGCTCATGTTTACTGCATGAGTCCCATCATCCCGCTATACACACCATCAGAGCTGGCCCAAGACATTTTATGCCTGAGACAAAGAACAAGATGCCATGTAAAACCAACTGAGCTGGGAGGTCAGTCTTTCTCTGGCAACAGGAGAGTATCCTCCAACAAGTACGAGGGCAACAAGGAAGTTTAAAAAGTGGAGAATAAGTTGTGTGGTCCATGTATCTCAATATTCCAAAAGAGTGGAGCAGCCAGAAGGCTAGGGAAGAATCACTGCAGGACTGACATTCTGAATCCCCAACATCTTGCCTCTGACGCACTTGTTTCACTCACTAAATGGTGCAGTTAGTCTTCCACACCACTAACTCTTATTGTCTACCATTTCCAGAAAGCCCATCATGACTACACATATCCTTGTCTTCTTTGGAAGATACAGCCAGGGATGAGAATTTGTCTTTAGTAACAGGAAGAGAGCAACCAGACTTCTGCATTTCAGGAGCAGTGTATCTAGGAGTAAGCCCATTCACTTTCAAGCTGACAATAAAAAAAATGCAGTGTTCCTGAATCTTAGTTTCGTGTGCAGTTACACAGGTTCCCAGTATCTATCTACAACGTTACAGGCCATGTTCCTTCCCATTCCACAGTGGGAAAGAATTGCTGACCCAGGAGTCCATTCCAGTCTGCGAATACAGTGGTGCCTCGCTTGACGACATTAATCCGTTCCAGTGAAATCACTGCAAAACGAAATCGTTGTCAAGCGAAAGTAAAAAGCCCATTGAAACGCATTGAAAACTGCTCAATGTGTTCCAATGGGCAAAATACTTCAGCGTCCAGCGAAGATCCTCCATAGGGCGGCCATTTTCTGGTGCCTGTAATGTGAGGAATCCGTCCTAAGCACAGCGGGGAGCCATTTTGAACAGTGGCCGGCCATTTTGAAACCCGACGATCAGCTGTTTTCTGATCATTGTGAAGCGAAGAAAGCCCTTTGAAACATCGTTTTGCGATCACAATAGCGATCACAAAAACATCGTTGTGAAGCGATTTTGTTGTTAAACGGGGTAATCGTTAAGCGGGGCAGCACTGTAGTCTCAGTAGTTCTCATTTCAGCAGTGAAGGGCACCAGGGGAACCAAATCGAACTGGCCAAGGCCAGGTGTTAATAAACCTTAACAACTAGCCCCACTATAACTGCTTCCCAGCATGAAAAACTCCTGCAGCCTGCAAACAAGCTGTTTTGTTCCGTAAAAGTTTCCATAATTCTGAAAAGCTGAGCTCCTGTTCCATTTCAATGCAAGACTTCCACAGACTTTAAACCGTCTCTTTTATGCTGGATCAGAAATTAGGCAGAAGTCCAGTGGCCTGATGGAAAACTAGGAAACAGTGAAATCATATCAGACCCAGACCCTAGGTTCTATTCCTCTGTCTTTAGCCTTTATCAGATCTTGTAGATTCACTGTTCACTTTCAGGCTTGCTTGGTATGGTTGCAAAAATCTAAACCACTCAAAACTACAGAGCATGAGAATGTATATTCCCAGTGATTTTGGAAAGCACTTGTAGCTTGGACTAACAATTAGCCTGAAGAAAACACAAGTCCTGGGCCAAGGCGTGGACTCACCTCCCTCTATTACTATCTCCACGCAAGAATTGGAGGTTGTTCATGAATTTGTATACCTTGGCTCAGCAATCTCTGACACTCTCTCCCTAGATGTCGAGCTGGATAAACGCACTGGGAAAGCAGCTACCATGTTCTCTAGACTCACAAAGAGAGTATGGCTTAATAAGAAGGTGACGGCGTAAACCAAAATTCAGGTCTATAGAGCCTGTGTCCTGAGCACACTCCTGTACTGCAGCGAGTCCTGGACCCTCTCTGCACAGCAGGAGAGGAAGCTGAACACCTTCCATATGCGTTGTCTCCGACGCATTTTTGGTATCACCTGGCAGGACAAAGTTCCAAATAGAGTAGTCCTAGAACGAGCTGGAATTTTTAGCACGTAAAACAGCGCCATCTACGTTGGCTTGAGCATGTCGTGAGAATGGCTGATGGTCGGATTCCAAAAGATCTCCTGTATGGAGAATTAGTGCAGGGAAACCGCCCCAGAGGGAGACCACAGCTGCGATACAAGGACATCTGCAAGTGGGATCTGAAGGCCTTAGGAATGGACCTCAACAGATGGGAAACCTTGACATGTGAGTGTTCAGTCTGGAGGCAGGCGGTGCAGCATGGCCTCTCCCAATTTGAAGAGACCCTTGTTCAGCAGGCCGAGGCAAAGAGGCAGTCCCAAAACCAGCAAAATCGGGGAGCTGGACAGGGGACAGATTGTATTTGTCTTCAGTGTGGAAGGGATTGTCACTCTCGAATTGGCCTTCTCAGCCACACTAGACGCTGTTCCAAGACCTCCATACAGAGCACGTTACCATAGTCTCTCAAGACTGAAGGATGCCTACTACTGTAGCTTCGGCTGGTACTTTGTAACAGGAAGACGATACGTGGCTACCAGAGCAAGAGTCATTTGTGTAAATGAGGGGAAATGACCTGTGCTGTCAATTTCATGAAAACTCTGAAATAACTCTGTCAAAGCAAAGGTCAACCCTGACCAAGATTCTGTTTTCAACAACAGCCATCAAAATTAACAAGCAAAGCGACAATCATCCCACTTATTCCTAAACTTTAATAATCAAATTCCACAAATATTTCAGAGTCAAAAGAAAATCATCCCTATAAACTCAAAACACTGCTCATCTTCAAAAGAAATTGTTATAAATTTGTGTCATCAGCTCTAAAATATATAGATCTGAAATCAATTTTCTTTAACTGAAATGCCTTCCTTAATATTTTAATGATTATATTTCTATGCCACTTGTCTTCCAAGGAACTTATTATTTCTTTTCAACACACATGCCAGCTTGTGATGTCAGGTAGTCTGCCAAAGATCATTTATCCCTGTCTGAATGTGTGCTTCCCACACTGTAACTCAACAGTAGTCATTCAAGACAGGCTTATCAGTAGCCTCTCTTCCCCAAGTTACCTCACTATATACGCTGCATATTATTTAATGCACTCACCTTATTTCCAGGACCAAGGATGAATTGATTTTCCATCTTTCCACAGAATGCTGGAACACTGAAGAGCCAGTCTTTTGGTTTATTTTATCAGAACTATTGACCATTGATCTACTTAAACTTATCTCACCGTCTCTGTAACACAATACAAAAAGAGAGAGTTAAAATTAGCTTGGTGCTTTCCAGAAGCCTGTGTCTGCACTCTACATGACAAACACATCCAGTGTTTTATTTACTTATATCCATGGTTTTATTTATCTATATCCAGGCTTAAGGGATACCTCCAATGGGCTCCCTCTTATTCCAAGCCTCAATTTTAATTTCCCACAATGATGTGACATTGTGTTTCTTCAGACAACAACTAGGAAATAAATGGCAAATCACAGATTTCAGTTGGCTAAGATGGTACCCTAACATAAGGACCAACATCTGTTGGCCTTGCAAAGACATGAATTCTCAGCAATTACCCCAGAAGGCTTCATACTGCCAGGCCTATTTATATTAATAGCCAAAATCTTGCTGCTTGATATATTAAATTGCACAAGAGCAGACTCATTTAAATTTATGGAGACACTGACTCACTAAATCACCATTGATTCAATGGGTTTACTCTAGTGTGATTTACTTTGCTAAGTAACAAGATTTGGGCCTGTATGTTTAAAAATATGGCCAATGCTTCTACCAACAGAAATTCTCTCTTTGTTCTTTCAGTTTTGGCAGGGAGAGATGGATAATATAGGACTTCTGTGCCAGACCCTGTTCCGCTGATACAATATAAGAAAGCAACATTATCAGTCTTCTCCCATGCAAAGCCTTTAGAATATAATAAAATAAAATAGTCTCAAATAAACCTTATTTATTCCTATAATAAACTTCTGCTTGTGATTATGGGTGAAGTAATCCAGCAATGGTGCCTGATGCATACATTGTCCCTTCCACACTAAGGAAACAATTGTATATTCTGTTTCCTCGAAGGGGGACTTACTTCTGAGCAGACGTTTAAGCCTGAAATATATCTATTTCCTTGCAAATCTCTTTATTATGCCACTAAAAGCACTTCATGACAATGGTTGGAATCCTAGTGACATTTGCATAAAGCTTCTGTAATTTGCCACAGCTAATTGCTGAAGTACTGGGACACACCCTAGTTGTTCATTTCAGCATGTGATTAAGTTGGTGACAAAGATGCATCTCTGCACCCCATCAATTAGCCATGGCAAGTTATGAAAACATTACACAAACAGAATTTCAAAATTACATTTTATTCATAAGGGTAAGGGCGGACATGAATCTGGTGCTAACATTTGTTTATATATTTATTTGATTCATACTCTTCCGCCCTCTCACCTTGGCGCCTAAGCCACTTTACAGTATAATTCATAAACAACACCATTAAAAACAATACATTGGAAATACTAAAGTAAAGTAAAATTCATTTTCTATGAGGCCAAAATAGAATTTAAAACCGTTTAAAACAAGGATTGCAATTTATCTATAGAAAAATACTGTACAACGTGGCCATCAGCCAGATCCTGAAGGCTTGGCTGAGCAGGAAGGGTTTTTTTTGTGTGCCTTCAGAAGGCTGTCAGGTAGATAAAGGCTGTCAGGTAGAAGGTCAATCTAACCTCCCTCAGGAGAGAGTTCCAAAGTCAGGGAGCAGCCAACAGAAAGGATGTCCCTTGTGTCCTCATCAAACATGCCTCTAAAGGCAAGAGGACTGGTTTACTTTTAAAACAAGTGTTTTAAAACAAACTTAGATACACAGACCTTTATAAAAACATAGTCTTAACATACGTAGAGAGGAAGCTGGGCATCCCCTCAAGTCAAAGAAGAAAAGGAACTCAGGGTCAAGGCAGACGTTAAGGGAAATGGGCACTCCCCATGTCTCACTCATGTTGCCTCCCAACAAGATCTCCTCAAGGATATCTCTTAAACCTTAAGCCTAACATATATATCCTCCAATGATTTACAAAATAAGCACGCTAAGTAGAAGACACAGAATACCATATTTTATGATAATAAAAATATATATCTTACACCCCCTGGGGGAGCACTCACGCAAAAAATGATAAAAGGTTTGATCCCTTAAGGCTAATTCAAATTAATAAAAACTACAATTTAGTTGCCATCACTACAATCCAAAAAGGTGCACACTGGCCTCTTATGCAACTGGGCAAAGATCAAAGGCTACTGACAGCTGATATTGCTCTCCTTCTTCTATTCATAATGGCAAGGAGACCAATATGCATCTAGCCACTAGCCAATGGTAAATGGGATATTCTACCAGCCTTCCTAAAAGTACCAACCCACAGAGATTTTGTTCCTTTTCTGTTACCATCAGCAGCAGGGCCTCTAAGATACTGAGAGGTCCAAGGCTTAATGTTCTGGTGAGGCCTGTCCTGGATACCACCTTCTCACGGCTCATTGTGTCAATGCCATTCCTTCCATCAGATGAAAAAGAAAATATGCATACAGAGTACAGTTTTAAAAAAAGCTGTATTTGCCAACAGAATGTTGAGATTTTACAACTAAAGTTAAAGAAAATATTTACACATAATGATAGACTGCATTATGAATATTTTAAAAGTTACATCATTTTTGCTTCTTGTTCTATTTTTTTCTTTTTCAACTTCTTTCCTTTTACGTCTTCCTCTTTTTTTTAGACTGTAAGCCTATGGCAGAAGCTTTAAAAACAAACAAACATATAAACATCCCCAAGAGCCATTTTTGCTGAGAAGAGACATAAAATTGCAATAAATAAACAAATAAATACAGGGCACCTGCAAGGAGTTTGCTTGTTCTTTCCTTGTCTGGAAAAAAACAGAACGAAATACTGTACCAGTGGCTGGCTGTAATAGCACCATAAAATTATAGAGCCAGAAGGTGTCCAAAATGGTCATCTAAGCCAGTGGTCACCAACCTTTTCCCAACCGCAGACTGGTTGGAAAATACCGTACCAGTGGCTGGCTGTAATAGTACCATAAAATTATACAGCCAGAAGGTGTCCAAAATGGTCATCCAAGCCAGTGGTCACCAACCTTTTCCCACCACAGACTGGTTGGGGAGGCGTGGCATGCTCATGCCGGGGGTGTAGCACGCTGTCGGGGTGTGGCACACCCGCAAGGGGGTGGAGCACGCTTGCGAACATGTGTGCAGCGGCGCTCATGGGGGGCTGCTCGTGCACATGCATACGGTGTGCTCACAGGGCCCCCCGCTTGCATGGATGCACAGAGCATGCTCCCACACATGCATGTGGCAGCGATCGCGGGGGGCAGGAGATCTGTGTCCACGGCCCAGTCCTGCCTAGGCCAAGGACTACTGCCAGGTTGCGAACTGGGGGTTGGGGACCCTCATCTAAGCCAACCCCCTGGTGAAATGGGAAATTCACATCTAACACATCCCTGCCTTCCAATCTCTGTTTAACAACCTCCAATGAAGGAGAGTCCACCACCTTGCAGGATAATCTATACCAATATGAAACAGGTCTTACTATCAGGATCCTCTTTCTAATGTAAAGGAGTTTTTTTAAAATCCAAACTGTCTGACTTGTATTCTGAATCAATTACAGGACTACTGGAAACTCCTACCATCTGAAGTCACAGAGAACAAACGTGCTCCATCTTCCATGTGATAGGCCTCCCTCCACATATTGGAGCTGGTTATTACTTCACCTCTCATTCTTCTCCAGACAAAACATATACAACTCCTTCAATTGTTTTTCATAACACATTGTTTCCAGATCTTTATCAGCCTGATCATCATTTTCTGGACACATCCAGTTTGTCAGTCTTTTTCTTACACTGTGATGTTCAGAACTAGATGGAATATTTCAGGCAAGGGCTACTGGAAGGTCCCACCTCAAATTTCTAATAAGAACATCATAATATAGCTTCATCCACTGGCCAGCAAAGGATCAGCTGTGCTGACCTTGCTGTGCCCCCCCCACCAGTTAACAGCAACAGTCATTTGCCTTGGGACTTCTGAAACAAGGGGACAGGACAGTTTGGCTTTATCCATTGCCCTATGGGAATGAGAGACCAATTACAGTAAGTCTGAGATCAAGGCGATGTCTCATTTAACCAATTAAGTCTGAGATCAAGGCGATGTCTCATTTTATATGGATGCTAGCTGCTTTATTAGGCAACATGTCTGAAAATTAACATAAAACTACATTGGTGCCTTGCTTTACGATTTCCCTGCATTACGACGAAACCACATTACGACGATCTTTTTGCGATCGCAATTGCGATAGCAAAACGATGGTCTAAATGGGGTTTTTTCGCTTTGCGATGATCGGTTCCCTGCTTCGGGAACCGATTCTTCACAAAACAACGATTTTAAAACAGCTGATCGGGGGTTTCAAAATGGCCACCGGGTAAACAAAATGGCTCCCCGCTGTTTTCTGGGACAGATTCCTCGCAAAACAGGCAGCGAAAACAGCTGCCCTATGGAGGATCTTCGCTGGACGGTGAGTTTTGACCCCACTGGAACACATTGAAGGGGTTTCAATGGGTTCCCCGCCCCCCCCTTTACGATGTTTTCGCTTAACGGCAATTTTCCTGGAATGGATTATCGCCGTTAAGCGAGGCACCACTGTACAATGCAATGAAAGGAAAAATGAAACAAACTAGTCCCATGAAATTATGCCAAGCATACACCAAATACACACACACGTGTGCACACACGCGTGTGCAACATAGAATTTATTTATTTATTTGATTTATACCCCACCCATCTGGTATAAAAGACCACTCTAGGCAGCTAGAGAATACTTTTTTATTTTCTACATCAGCTTCTAATATATACTGAATCTAGTCTACTTCACACATATTTTTCTCCATTTAAATGGCAGTGTATCTGTCAAGACTAGTCTCTATCTGGTGTCAACACGGAAACTTACACACTGAGCCATATATTAACAGCAGTGTGAAGTATTGGCAGGACCTCTGCACAAACTAGAGAGCTTTGATTTTCTGTACGTTGATTTTGTTTGTGCTCCTCCTCTCCAAGCACCCATTCTCAATTATTGCTATGTCTTACAACTGTAAGAGACACTTTAATGAATCAGAATGAAGGCTTATATAGTCTAGTCTTCTGTTTCCCACAGTGGCCTATGAAAAATACTAATCTATATA